GGGATTATATTGGTTTACTTGATAATTCTGTCTTTGTTAAGGTGGTGGAAGGAAACCTATGAAATGCTGTTGTTTTCTAACCCTTATGAATTAAGTGTAAGAAATTAAGTGGCTTAGTTTTTCTTCATGTGGAGCCTGAAAAGAGACTGGAAAAATCAGTAGCAACGTACAAAGTGTGGTCTTATTGAGTATAGTGCAGTTGTCCTATTTGAAGCATTAAGTTTACCAAGGTTTTTCTTCCCTTAGATTTTCAAATGTGGTTATAAGCCACCACCCCCTTTGGAACTCTGATTGCATCATACCTAAATATTTAATTTAATCATAGCTTTTACTTCCAGTCAAGACCCAGACCCTCAGTTGGAAGGCAGGAGGGCCCTGCAGAGGGACCTGGACAGACTGGAGAGTTGGACTGATTCCCACGAGATGAGGTTCGACAAGGCCAAGTGCCGGGTCCTGCGCTTTCGTCACAAGAACCCCCTGTAGTGCTACAGGCTGGGGACAGAGTGGCTGGAGAGCAGCCAGGCAGAAAGGGACCTGAGAGTTTGGATTGACAGGAAGCTGAATATGAGTCATCAGTGTGCCCAGGTGGTCAAGAAGGCCAATGACATCCTGGCCTGGATCAGGAACAGTGTGGCCAGCAGGGCCAGGGAAGTGGTTCTTCCCCTGGACCCAGCACTGGTGAGGCCACACCTCGAGTGCTGTGTCCAGCTCTGGGCCCCTCAGTTCACGGAGGATATTGAGATGCTGGAGCAGGTCCAGAGAAGAGCAACAAGGCTGGTGAAGGGATTCAAACAGAAGTCCTCTGAGGAGAGGCTGAGGGAGCTGGGTTTGTTTAGCCTGGAGAAGAGGAGGCTCAGGGGAGACTTCATCACTCTCTACAACTACCTGAAAGGAGATTGTAGCCAGGTGGGGGTCGATCTCTTTTCCCAGGCAACTCTCAGCAAGACAAGAGGGCTCAGGGTCTTCAGCTGTGCCAGGGGAGGTTTAGGTTAGATATTAGGAAGAAATTCTTTACAGAGGGGGTAATCAGGCATTGGAATGGGTTGCCCAGGGAAGCGGTGGATTCTCCGTCCCTGGAGGTTTTTAAGATGAGACTGGATGTGGCACTTAGCGCCATGGTCTAGTAACTGCGGTGGTAGTGGATCAAGGGTTGGACTTGATGATCTCAGAGGTCCCTTCCAACCCAGCTGATTCTATGATTCTATGATTTCTTTTCCTTTGGGGGTAATATGAAAGCCAGACTGCAGAGGCTGCTAGAGATTGTGTAGGCTATAAGGAGTGTTCTCTGCAGCAATGAGTTCACACACTGTGAACCTCGTTCAGCAGGAATGATTTTTTTTTTTTAATGTTAGGGTATTGCATTGCAGGAAATGTAAGTCCAGTTGATCTGTGTACACTGATGAAGCGTTTCTGTTCCAGGTCTGTCTCTGAAGATCTGGGTTGCAGACGTGGAGACTTTAGCAGAAAGCATTATGGATCTGTGGAGCTCGTAAGTTTATGTAGTTTGTCCTTTGATTTATCACCTTATACAGAGCTGAAATCCTTTTCATTTCCAGGTAAAAAGATTGAATTTAATTTGGAAAATGTGCTTTCTAAGCTAGACTTGGCAGTTGTAGACTAATAAAAAGAGTCTTCAGAATAAATATTTTTACTGCTTTATTTACGAATATTTCATGATAACAGGTCAGAAAGTGTTATATAAATATTATCTTTACCTCCAGATGAAATTGAGCCTTTTTTCGTCTCATAAGCTGAAGACTGCAAAATATTAGGGTAGTATTTAATGAAGTACTTGCTATTATGTAAGTCATAAACTGTTTGCATGCTCACATCTGTACAAATGTATTAATGTTGTATGTACAGGCCTCAGAGTAGTGGGAGAAGGTTTAAAACTAAAAGAACTAGTTAGAATAAATATATTGAAAATGATTCCCTAAAATCTGTCAATTATCCTGTATTTTCTTCAAATTCCAAGATTAAGTTGGCATTTCATTTTTCTCATACATAAATTTCTTCTCTGCTGTGAAAATAGCAGTATATGAGCGGTTAAAATAGTGTCACTGATTACAAGGTCATAATGAAATTATATAACTTACTATAGGAAAGCAGAAGTGAGAGGAAGTAAAGAAAATGAACTCCAGCTCTCTTACTGTGGGAAGAAATCACGAATTTTCTACTAGCTATAGTTGTAATTTAAAGTTCTTGGGTAATATATTTATTAATATGTATGTAAATTGGGTGTATATTGGTGGCTTAGTTGCTGTAAGTTGCATTGCAAGAACATCAGGTATCTTTCTTTTCTTTCCATACATTCCACATAACAGATGTGGTATTTTAATCAAAAAATACAAGTGAACCGTTTTCTGCAAAGAGGCACTTTCGTTACTAATACTTAGACTCTTTTGCTGGAAAAGAAAAAGTTATTTGTAATTATAAATTCGCAGTAAGCTCACACAAATGGTCTTGTCTTTTGGTTGGTTTTCTTAAAATTCTGCTGGTATTTTATGAAATTGTGTCTTTTTATCTTTTGGAGTACAAACATATAAAGGTTCTTGTTGCCCTTTCAAATTTCTAAATGTTCGGTATTTAACTTTTCTTGCTTAATGTTTCCCACAGTAGCGTCTTAGTTGGTCAGTTCTTTCCAAATCATTTTGTCTCTGCTCTAAACACTTTTTCATATGTCTTTCCCATTGTGTGCCAGTTGTCCGTATAATCTCTCTTACAGTTTATATAAAGCACGAGGATGCATTGGAGGTTTTGCCCTGTTAGTTTATTTCTGACATAGCCTCAGATTGCTTCAAAACAAGGAGAAAACTTCAAAATGTGATAACTCTCCTACCAAGTGAAGGAAGAAGATATTATCCTAGAAACAACATAGATTACTAGAGGGAAGCAATGAATTGCATTATTGTTGTTCAGATCCCATTTCATAAGTTTGGTATGATATGTGACAATCACCCTTTTAACAGTTTAGGGAGGAGTAACATGCAATATCATTGGCAGCATTCTCCTCCCCTTCTCTTGTAGGGATCCTGAGCGGTGTTGCAGGACACATGAGAATTACTTCGTTATCCTTTGCTTTACTGTCTTCTCAAGAGCTTCTTTAGCAACAGAAAGAGTTTCAGTGTTCTGTGAATCCCTGGATTCCCTTATAAAAAGACCAAGCAGCCTTTCCAGAGTATTTTTGAAATTGTTGAAGTCTTCAGCTGGAAACAAGCCCTATTTTCTGATGTTAATGCTGGAAACAGACCAGGACATCTCCTGTACCTTATGTTGCTCAGCATCATCACTGAGCATTGTGTTTGGAGATTCTTGTTGCTCTCTGTCTCCTAAAAATATCAATAGAGGAAGACATCAATAAATAAAATGCAGTAAAAAACTGCTAGTCCCAGTAATATTGCCAACAAGTAGAGTTTTAGGCTTTGCAAGGCTGAGAGGACAAGAATCATCATGTCTGTAAGACCCATTTTTTGGAAAGGAGCAATCTTCAAGATCAATTTCTGGAAGGGGGACAAGTCCCTCTTTAGGAGTACTGTGTGTTGGCGCAGCCAAATTCTCCTGAGACAGGAGAATTTCTGCTTGGTACTTGGATCTACCAAGAGAGCGAATCTCTCACCCATTTGTGCCTACTTAAGAGTTCTTACCGGGCCGTTCAAAGCCTGTAGTCAAATTGGAAATAGCTGGGCCAATCTCTTCTCTTTGGCTAGTTATATGATGCCTGGAACAAGAAGAAATGTAGTAAGCTTTGACTGCTGATGATATGGCTATTTTTGGAACTAGAACCTCTATCTTAAACTCTCTTGTAGCTTATATCTAGTGATGCTGATGGAGCCATTCAAAGAGCTGGGCGGTTCCGTGTGGAAAACGGCTCCTCTGATGAGGTAAGTGGCTAAAAATACTCACAGAAAGCTGAAAAAATAATTCAGCTTCAGTAGTTCTTCAGCAATGAAAGATGTGTTTGCAGTCAGTTACTAAGTAAAGAGGACCTGAAAAACGCTAAGTAATACTATGAAAATGTCAGAGTCTAAGAAGAGTAAGTTGGTGGTTTTTTCCCCTCTCACAGACTAGCTTAGTTTTTCATTCAAGAGTATGTAGTTGAAGGGAAAAGCTGGCATTTTGTTTCATTTTGGTAACATTTTTGTTCACCAGTTCACGATAGGAGAAAAATATGAACCCTCTGAATGACACTTCATGGTCTCTAGTTTGTGACTTTATATTGGTGTCCTGGTGGTACAGCTATGTTCAAGCTGACCTTTGTGCTTTTGAGTTTGTTGGCATGATAAAGTTACAGCTTCATTTTTGTCCCCTTAGTTGTCTTTTGGCAGCTGTGCTTATCTCTAAATAAGAAATAAAGAAGGAGAGTGGAGCCTCAGAGTCGTTCTCTCCAGATTCCTGTGCTGCTAAACTCACAGTGTGTCCCTGCAACCACTCCCGTGACGCTTAGGTTTCCGCTTATCTTCATATATTATCTTCCTTTGTAAAACTTTTTCATCTGTAAATACCATCTTAATATTGAAAGAAAGAAGACCTCATATTCTTGAAATACATGTAAGGTCTTGGTACATTTGTATTGAACTAATATTAACGGCAAACTATTACTGATCATCATTTTGCATCAGCACTGGGTGCAGAGTTGAAAGCAATCTAACTATTCTGCATTGGTTTTCTGTGGGGTCATGTTCGATACTCTGTCTTTTTAGTTCAGTTTCGTGCAGTTCAAAAGCTGATTAGCTTATATCACAGAAAGATTCCCAGAGTGGGGGATGAATGGCCACATAGTGAATGAATACTTAGAATGGCTTTTTCTTTGCATATGGTAATTCTTAGTGGAAAAGGACTGGAGGGATGCTTGGGAATTTACCTTAACTGGCTAATCCAGAAACAACACTGAAGAACTTCTAAAGCATGCTTTTGTCAAGCAAGGAGTCCTTGGGGATTATTTTGGGAAGAACTGAGAAAATGTAACTTGGACGCAGAATTCCATTCATTAATTTATTTATTTTTAAGTTTTAGAATGCTTTTCTTCAAATTCCACATTGAAATCTCTTCTTTTCACTGAAATTCTAAGCCATTGCCTGTGATAGCGGTACACTAGGATAAGCCTGTAGTTAATTAGAAAGAAATGGGGAAAAAAGAGAACAGGAGAGGGAAAAGTTTGAATTTCAGCCAACTGACTTAAGAATAATTCTTGCTTTTTAAAAAGCAGTGTACAGCTAAAACTTCAGATGAATCAGCCAGTCTCGGCTTTTACCTATATTTTATCTTTCTTTTTTGCTTGGTGTTTAATGTAACAGTCTCTCAATTCTATTTCAGAATACAGACTACACACCGGGTACATGGCACAGAACAGATGTGCATTTGGAAAACCCAGAGTATCATACAAGATGGTATTTCAAATATTTTTTAGGGAAAGGTAATTTTTTTGGTTTGTGAAGGGATTGGAGTTTGAATCAATGAAAATGTAATGTAGCTTTGAATGGCTGTTATTTCAATATGGAAAAAGTGTAGTGTTAATTTGGGTTTCTGTAAGCAGTGAAACCTCTGCTTTTCAAAACAAGGGATGTTTTGAAAACCTGCTTGGCTTTGAAATCTGTACTTATCTTTTGGGGTTTTTTTACACATCTGTATATAAAAACATAGTTAGTTATGTAGGCAATTATTTATTTTACATATGAATGCATAGATTTACAGGTGTCTCTGTGCATGAGTGGGTGTGCACGTCTTCTTTATGGTTGATACTGTGTCTTGTTTTTCTCCAACAGTTCATCAGAATTATATAGGTACAGATGCAGAGAAGAACCCTTTCTTTCTGTCTGTTGTACTGTCTGACCAAAATAATCAGCGCATTCCTCAATATCATTCAATACTTTGGAGAAAAACAGTAAGAAACAAATATTTAACTGCTGCTCTGACTTTTGTTTGGTTTGGGTATGTTTATCATACACTTTTTCTTCAGAATTCCAGTATGTATTATATAATTTCATTTGATACAATAAGAACATATAATTCTACTGTAGTAGCTAAAATTAAACTAAATTTGTAGATAACATTATACTAAACTTTCTGACAGAAATCTGTGATGTCAGATATTTTCTAGTTGTGCTTACCTGCAACACTGCTTTTTTTTAGAAATGTTGCCTAAATTGTTCTTGATTATGTCCTGTGATCAATTTAGGCAATTATTTTCTTTTATAATGGTAAGAAAATAGGCAGGTGTGATACTGTTTTCACTAATATTATTTAATTAAATTTTTTTCCACTTAAGGTCCCATAAGAGCCTCTTATTTAAGCAATTGATTTAAAACTCTCTTGTAGGCATGCACAGTTCTTTTTTTTTGTTTGTTTGTTTTCTGCAACATCATTACTTTTTCTCCAAACCGTCAATAAATATAGCTAAATAAAACTAGCTCAGTTTTCTTCTTTGTTTTTTTGCTTAATTGTTTTTATTAATATTTCTACTTGAATAGGTCAGTATGTCCTGTAATATATCCTGGCTTTTCTTCTTTATAGGGTACTCAGAAAATATGTCTCCCTTATAGTCCCACAAAAACATTATCAGTGAAATCTATATTAAGGTATGTATTGACACATAGGTTATCATGTAAGATATTTGCCGATATGCCTTTTCCTGTAATTCAGAGCTTGTGTTCCATGGTTTTCATGATAAATTTATAAAAAGAGTAAAAAATAAACTTTGAAAATCTTAATCATTGAAGGCATCAAAAAGTGGTTTTAAAACCTGTTCTGTAATGGGTAAAGTGACAACTTAAAATGGAGAAAAATTCTTAACACTTTTTCTTTAGCAGAGGGACTATTTTCAAGTTAATTGGAAAACAGGCTAAATGAAACTGCACTGATTGAGAAGAAGTATCTTTTAAATTTAGGTAGGCAATAAAGAGCAGATTTTGCCTAGAGAGATGGTTATTATGTGGCCCTAGCAGGAGGAAGCAGGCAGTCAAGAAGCCAAGAATTATTTTTTCAGTTGATTGTCTTTGTCTAAGTTTCACTACAGGTGTGTTATGCACAGTGAAGCCAAGAAAATTTCTTCTCTCAGCCAGATGATCGTGCTTGTACTCTGCCCTGCGTCTTTTGTGGCAGAAGAGAATATGAAGCGAGCAAACCCAACACTGTTTCTATTTCTTTGAACATTATAATCAGCTGACGTGTCAGAGCACCTGTTTGGAAACCATTCATTCAAATTTAATCTACAGTTTTTACAATCTCATCATGTGGTGTATTTTTCTCAAGTCCCTCACTGACAATGTCATCAATTGGATCTTCTGTAAGGGTTTTAACTCCTCACGAAACCCATTAAAAGTGCTGCCTTTTACTAAAAAGGCATGTGTAGCAGATCAATGGGCAGTCTGCACATCCTCAAAACCTTTAATCTGTATAGAGTAGGAACAAATGTTTCTTGCTTTATTGAAGCGAGGCCACTGGTTAACACTGCCAATGCCTATGTGAGAGGGGAGTTCTGGAAGCAGGGCATGTGTTGTGGTGTGAAGCCACTGCCACCAGATCTGGATGTTCCTACTACTGTGCAAGATTTATGGGAGGTCCCAGACCACTGAATTTTCCAGAGACACTATCGGGCCATTGAGTCTCACTTTGTAAATCTGATTTCCTGGGCTGTGGCTCCATTTTGGAATGTCAAGATGGTGAGTTGAAAACACTTCAGATGTCTTTCAGCTTCATCAAGATGAGCTAAGTGCCCTCTTCTAACTCTTACAGTGCTGGCTTGAATAGTATTCCTAGTCTGTACTGCATTCTTTACCTGCATAAGTACCTGATTTTCTCTGTCTGCCCACCAGTGTCTGAAGTATCTCTTCCTAACATCCCTTTCCAACCCAACCTCTCCCTCCACTCCACCCACATATGCCGTTTCAGTCAGGCACTCCAGAGTGGAGAAACTTTGTCATCTGTTAGCTTGGGTCATAACTCTTTTGCCGAAGCATCCTCACGTGTTCCATCCTGTGATGCTCCAATATTTTACAGAGAAAAATGTAGGCTTGTTTCAGACCTTGTTCCCCGTTTCTTCCAGGGTCTGTGTCACATGCAGTCAGCTGCATAAATGTCATCCCCTTCTGCCTGCTTCAGCTTGGATTGAAAACTCTTCCCTGACTATTTTTTTGCTCCTATGGTCCTTGAGCCATCCCTCAGGCCTGACTGATATTCCTTTGACAGTTCAACCTGTTCATACCTGGTGTGAATCTAGGTACAGACTGTCTCAAAGGCTTTTGGTTACATTATTAAACCTGTTTTTCTAAATTGATTAAAACATTTTAATCCCTTTCAAAAGGGATTAAACAAATTGTGTCTGCACTGTGATCTAGCATAAGCAAAAATGCAAAGATTTGACCTCCGTGTTAGTTCACTGTGCCCCATACAAACTGCATTTGGCACTCCATGACATGCTGCACAGTTCTATAACTTAATGATTGGGGAAAAAAAAGGAGTAAAAATAATAGTAAATGTAGAAACATAACTTAGGGGAAAATGCTATGAATTAGATATTTCTGTTTATTGAGGCAGTAGATCTTCTTATTTAAATATCTTTTCTGTTCTGTCTGTGGGTCTTTGGTATGTGAATTACATGCTGAACTTCTACGTTGTCATTTGGCTTGCCTTGAATTATTTTAGGAGAGAATAAAAGCTTAAAAAATAGAATCGATTATTGAGTCCTTCTAAAATGTTCACCATGATTATGTTTAAATTTACAGTGAAGGATGATGAAATAAAGCTCTGTCCTTTATAAGTCAATAAATTTAAACCTGATCTTGACGCAGATTCTTGCTAATTTCTGTTTTTAAAATCCAAAAGAAGTTAGGAAGTGTTGGAGGCTAGTATTTTGTGGAAGAAATGGCAGTTCTACAAAACGTTCCACCTAAGAGAGGCTCTTTGAACAATTAATTTTGTAACCAGTTGTAACAGCAACCAGTTGGTGCTTTACTGCTGAAATGTATACTTGCCTTTCTACAAAGCAGTATTTTGTTTGCATTTCAGTGCTATGAGTCTTGATAAATTTGAGAAGAGCCCAAGGGAAATTTTTCATCCTGAGATACAAAAGGTAGGACTTTTTTTGTTCGCTTGTTTTTCTTTATTATTTTGTGGAAATATAAGTAATGGGGTATAAATGCTACTAATTGCTTTCTTTCAGTAGCAGGATAAAAATGAGTAGGATTATGTGAACTACTTAAACTGTCTTTATCAGTTGAACTGGCCACTTCAAATCAAAACTTAAATATATAAGGTTGTTAGTTTTATTTGTGTTATCTTTAATATCAGTGTGCTAAAGATACTGTTTTTCTTTACAGGATTTATTGGTTCTTGAAGAGCAAGAGGTAAATGTAAACCTACCTCTCCTAGCTCACAGACCTGTTCAATGAATACAGCTTTGTATTTGAAATATTTGCACTGATATACTTGTAACAACTTACTAATCAATTGCTTATTACAGTAAAAAATGTAAGTTTTTTAACATATGAGATAAAAAATAATTTTAAGCACCAACTTAATATAGCACCCACTCAGATTATTAATTTTATGCTATACCATAAAACTTTGAAGGTAAATTATTATGTATTAGGAGTTGGTGTAAAATGTATATTCCCATGTGTAGGATGTATACCAAGGTATATATCTAAAAGTCCTTAGAGAAAACATTTTTTAGGTCTTCTATTTGATTGTCTTTTTTTCATGTAATATTTGGGTTTATTTCTCAGGGATCTGTGAATTTTAAATTTGGAGTCCTTTATGCTAAGGATGGTCAGCTAACAGATGATGAAATGTTCAGTAATGGTGAGTTTTTCTTAATTGTTTTATTTACACGAATAAAAAAATGGAAAATAGTGCCTACACATGGAAGACAGAAGGGAGGTGATTGTTATACAAACAGTAGTTTTGTTGGTTTTCATGTTCATGTTGGGTGATAATTGTAGCATAGAACCTTCTGTTTCTATAAAAAGTTGCTGTAGGAATTGTACTATTACGACTTGGAAGATAGTGAAATTTCTTTCCTAAACTATGCAACATAACATTTAGAAAAAAGAAGCAGTTGAAGGCGCAACTTGTTTACTCACTGTTGTTTGTAGTTCTTTCACTCTTAATGTTTTTGCAGCATGATCACTTCCTCTTGTTCACTTGAACAGCGTAGTCTTGATGTTATCACTTGATGTCACTTTTTAATGTCACATGATGATGCCTATTCTGCAAGGCTGGGTTGCTGTTTCTGGAAAGGTAGAAGGCTTGGATGACATGAAGAGAAACTAATTCAGCTGAAACTTGGGTCCTTGTGTTCCAGAAGCGGTACCTATTTCTGTATTTTGATTATTTTTTATACATGTCCTGTAACTATGTGTTTGTTTGTTGTTTTTTTTTTACATTTCTCTCTCCCACATGTAGAAACTGGAAGTGAAAGCTTTCAAAGATTTTTGCATCTCTTGGGTGACACAGTTACTTTGAAAGGCTGGACAGGCTATAGAGGAGGACTGGACACTAAAAGTAAGAGCTTATCTGAAGCAATAAAGAGGAGGCACTATTGCATGTGCATATTATACATATTGTAGTTATAATACAATCCCAAAATGGCTTTCCTCATGTGCATGCTAAGTGCTCTACTTCACGAGAAAAAAGTCTGGTCAGCTTAAGTCACTGATATGTAATGCAGTTAAAGAAAAGTATTTATATGACCTGTGTTTTCAAGATGAACAGTTTTGTTTTAAATTCGAACGAAGACTAACCTGACACATTGCTTGCTTCGTAGTGGTAGGACCTCATGGCTTGAAGAACTGTGTGATTTCAAGAGGTGAAGGACATCATGGGTTTTAAGTGTGAATAGGCAGATTAATTCCAAATTTGGGTTTGGACTCACATAAAACATGCAGTGTGGATATTTTCTAAAATGGATTAGAAAAAAAGAATAACTGAAGAAGATTTGGTAGAAGGACTTGGAATATCTTTTGTTCTTTAGAAAACTTAGAGGGCATATTCCTGCTGAGAATGTTGTCTTCCCTTGCAGATGATACAACAGGAACCTGTTCCATCTATACAATTTTTCAAGGGCACGAAATTATGTTCCATGTTTCAACTATGCTACCATATTCTAGAGAGAACAAGCAGCAGGTACATGGTTCTCTTTATTTTTCCCCGCCCCTCATTTATTTACTAAATCACAAACTCCAAAACTTTAGAAGAAACAAGGGATTTCTTGTCTGTTAATATTTTATAAATGTAGGTTTTAAGACTTTTGCTGGTTTTTTCTCAATATTATACCAAATGCTGAAAATTTCATGATGTTTGTTAGAAATAATGCATCCTGTCATCTTTATTAAGGTACAAAAGATACTTGTGAAGAAGGTCGAAATTGCTTCACTGAGAAGTAATTGAGTATTGTCCTGTCCAGGTGACTTGAAGGGCTGCACTACGTCAATTATTACCTCAAAGAATTTAGGAAAATTGAAAATTAGCCTTGTGTGTGAATTGTAGGAATATTCACATGTGTAATACAAAACTCAAAGTCGGGAAGCAATTAGTGCAGCTTGAAAGAAATTCCCGTTGTGAGCACATTAGGCACTAAAGCACTGCTGTCACATTCTCATAGGTTCACTAGGTTGGTTCTTGGATACTTGATCAAATGTGCTGTCATCCATTGCTCAAACCTTTCTTTGTATTATATGATGAAAAAGTACTTTATAAGCACATGCATTTATTATACATCATACATTCATAATGATTTGCCTAAAATTACTTGCAAATTACTTGGTTTACTTTTTATTATGTATTATAATAATATAGTTAGATGACACCATTATGTTGTCCCTTTTTTATTCCTATCAGTTTTCCCATGCTTTGTCCTTGGCCCGATAACAAGATAACAGAAGAAAACAGAGGCCATTCAGGATATTTATTTTTAAGGAATAACTCAGCATCAAAGTTTTTTTCCCTTTTATTTCAAGTGGTAGATTTGCTTTTTTGGAATGCTAAGACCTCCATGCCCAATTTGTGAATAATGATAATGTAAATTATATAAAAGATGAGTGCTTGTCTAACTTAAAAATAGGCAATATCTGCTCTTCTAGAACCTTCTAGTGTCCACTGTGGCATTGCTTGGTAGACTTGCTTACAGTTAGGTAATCATTTTATATTGACCTTAGTACCATTGACCATCATTTTTCTGTTTGCAGTTTAGGAATATTGTTTTACCATTCTCTCACACAATTGTTAAGATATTTATTTATGTATTTTAAGTCCTTGTGTCTGTCTCTCTTTCTTTCTTTTTCCTTTTTTTTGTTGGGTTTTTTTTTCCAGGTAGAAAGGAAGCGACATATTGGAAATGACATTGTCACTATAGTATTTCAGGAAGGTGAAGAGTCTTCTGCAGCATTCAAGCCATCCATGATTCGCTCTCATTTTACACGTATCTTTTTCCTTACATTTTCTATTTTTTTTTAAAGATCAATATTACTTTTAATTCCTGCATGCTGTTTATGGAAGTGAAAACTGTTTTAGAAAGACAGTTGCATTCTTGCATTCTTTACCTTCAACTGCTTGACTAGGAGTTTCCAAATCTGCAACATAAAACAAAGTTTGTGTAGAATCCCCTAGAAGATAAGGTAAAAGCAAGAATGTGATTTTTAAATCATGTTTTTGTTATCGAAAGCATTTATTTGGATAATTTCACAAATTAAATTTTATACCTTTTCATAAAATATAAATTCATAAATATATTTGTTAGTTATGTGAATTAATTTGGCTTTAAATTTTGACGTTTGACTGAATATTGCCTTTTAATGTTTAGATGCTGTTTATTTTACATATTTATGTATTTTAGATCAGTGTTTCTCAAATCTTTCAGATCATTAACCATATATTCTCCAGATTTTGTCAGCCTGTGTTTTTCAGACTTTCAGTTGAAAACATGGGGAAGACAATATGATTCCAAAACCAGTGGCCAATCACTTGGGATTATCATGGGGTCACACTAGTAATCTGTAGACTAGTAATCTGTAGAATATGGCATTAGACTAGATGGAGTGGAATGAATAAAAATGGATGAAAAGAAGAAAACTCTTATAATAAAAACCTTTAGATATCAGAGGAAACTAAATGTTAAGAACAATTGTTTATCAAGTCCATGTACCTCTTTGTTAGAGTGTCAGCCTTAGTATAAAAGGAATAATTATTCCCTTATTGCTGTTTGGAGGACTTGTCACAATGTCTGATACAGCCTACTTTTGATTTTGGCAAATATTTTGAGGTTCAGCTGTCCTTGGTGTCATAATGAGATGTGCCCGAAATCCTCATTTTAAGTAATCCACACTTGGTTGATAGAGTCATAGTACCATCCTGGCATTTTCAGTTGGAGGAGTCAGAGATAAAAATGTCTGCAAGAAAAGTGGGGGTTGCCTCTGAGCTATATCAGATGTGATAAGTCTTAAAGCTCACTGAATCTGTACTAGCACACCTTTTTTGTTACTTTTACAACAGGAAAGAATAGCATAAAGATATCCCACTGTGCTGTCCTATATAGTAATGACAGCTGCTGTATGGAGGTTTGCCATGTGTTGTCTGTGGGGTAGGACTGACTTACAAAATAAAGGCATCAGCACCAATTTAGATGTCCCAACATACTTGAAATGCCTGTACAGATCTGACAGATACAACTTAGGGCCTATGGGAGATCTGTGCCCCTTTTGGAATAGTAGCTGGAGACTAGCCAGTGTACTCTCAAGCATCTTAAATAGCATTGGGTGCTTTCATTGAAGTAATGGAATCATGTTGTCTTTTTTTATCAGTCTCTGATAGTGCTGATCACAGTTATTGGCTAAGGTCTCTTTGTTCTAACTGGAACAAACCCACACAGCCAATGCAGTTATTCAGACTTGTGCTTTCTTTGACACTTTATGAGGACTGAAAATTTAAGAGATGGTTTTAAGTAAATCTATCCAAGCAGTATGCCTCTAACTGATTCCATAAAAAAAACTTGCAAGGCAACCATAAGGATTTATCTGATTATGTTTTTCCCGGATTTGCCTGAACTTACGAATCAAGACTGGTAATACATTTTTGTGTACTTGCACTTCAAATCATTCTCTCCATTTTCTTATAATTTTGTTAACTAAATTATTTCATTGGAATCTTTTTTTCAGTAGAAGTTTCGGTATAAATGAAGTTTGGAATCAGTACTTTTTTATCAACTAAAAGAATTTTTAGTCACAACTCTGTCAAACACACATAAACCACAGCATGTTTTATGCTGTATTTGTGGTACTAGCTTGATTTTTAAAACTTGATCAAACCATAAAATTCTGTATGGGACCTCCTTTATAAATAGCAAAATCTGTATAGTTTAGAATGTTTTGTATATTTACATTGATTAATGTGTTTTACCTTTATTAAATCTACTATGTAACTGCAGGAGAAGAAAAAGTGTATTAAAGTACATGTGATCTTTATTAGAAGTGGATTAACTTCCTTAACTGCATGGCAGATATTTTTGCTTTAGTGAGATACAATAAGCAGAATGATAGTTACAGGTAGGTGCTGATTGTAACAAATAACTTCACGCTGAATTTCTGATGGTTTAGAGAAAACGGGATAACGGTTTGGCAATGGGGAGACTTCCTGGTGTACAGAAGGTCCACTCATCTGTATGCTGGGAGGCCAAATGAACTTAAGAAGCTGAAGAGCAACATGGACCTTGATGCAGATGTCTCTAAACTGCTTATATGTTGCATGTTTCTAACCATCAGGAAAATAAATTCTGAAACAGGCATAAGCTAAGGGGGAAAAACAAAACTATTCTTTAGATGAAATGTAACAAAATCATGAAAGACATACCTGGAATGTCTGACCTGATGAGATCAATGACACAGTGAACTACATGTATGATAGTTATTTAGATGTATGGAAGTTAATTAGATGTGTATGATGATGTGATAGCCATGGACTGCAGATCCTTACAGATCTCAGTTCAGCAGTAGCTGAGCAAACTAATTCATTTTTAGGGATCTTAACAGAGTATTTGCATAATTGGACGTCACATGCTTTAAACCTACTGGAATTTTGCATATTACTATGTTTCTTCAGCATTCCATTAAATCTAGCTCCAGAGAAGTATCCAATAGCATGATACTTCAGTTTGCATATGTGGGGTTTTTTTCCCCCCCCTCCCATTTATAGCTGGAGTTTGTTTTGGAAATATCTATAGCACAGTTGAGAAAAGGAATAGTTTTATTTTGTTTGAAGATCTTGTCAGCAACTTCTCGCAATTTTTTTTTTAAATTGATTGTCCTCATAGCTTCTGCTTTTCAGCATTCCTGGGTTTGTGAGAGGCACAAAACATGTTCATGATTCCAGTGTGCAGTGACAGTGCAGATACTTTTTCCTTTTTCTTCTTGTTTTGGGACAGAAACTTGGGCTTGTAAGCTGATAGTCAGTAGATGGGCTAGCCATGGTAAAATGCTTTTTACCTTGCTGTTTATTTGGGAGGCAAATGAGTAGCAGTAATTAAGATAAATTTGCCTCTCTCGCTCTAAATAACTGGCTGCTTTTACTAGATCAGTCTATCTTATTTTAGTTGCTTCATTCTGCCAGTCTTGACACATGCAGTACATGTCATGCAGTATTTTTTCCCTGTATGACAGGTGTGATACATATATTTCAGCTTGGCCTAATTACATTTCCTTCTGTCCTTTCAGCTTAGGCCTGAATAGAACTCTTGTTCCTTCTGTTATTTTTTTTGTGTGTGAAGATGGTCTTCCAAGTGGCCAAAATGTCAGTCAAAGGAGAGAGGGGATGCTCTAGTGTTTTGAGACAGATCTTCTGTGTTTCAAGTGCAATGCCACTGTGAGATCTGACACTGACTTTCTGCTTAGAATGCAGAATATTTTACTCCAGTCAAGAAATCTATTTCTTTGGTTGGTTTTGCTGTGGCTTTCCCCATCTTAATTCATTCTACTCTACTCAAGGAACATTTCACACCTTTTGTAGTGATAAATGATTATTTTTTTTACCTGGATCTAATAAAATAGACATAGGGCATCTATGAAATTGTGTCTCAAATATGTGAAACCAACATTAGAATGATCAGTATTCATTGTGTTTCAGATTGTATGCACAGTTTCTAAGCTGTCATGAAAAAAGACAGTATGAAACCATTACAATCCATTAGACTCAATAGCAGTCACTCACTGGTGGTTTTTTGAGGAAGCAAATTCAGACTCTGGTTTGTGTAACAGTAGAGATGGGTTGAATCAATAATTTTACCAATTAAATTGCTGTGGCTTGTGTCATCTGCACGTGCCACTTGGAAGACCTTTGTCTGCAGACTGTCAATTGAAATAGCAAAGAATGATAACTTACAGAAGCTATACCTGCTGAACATATTGTGTACATGGGTTTGGTACCTGCCATTCATTCTTGCTATGTGGGATTCCTTATGGATCACAAGAACTCAGCAGGTCCAGCTGTCACAGAAGTCATTCTGACTCTTTCTTCCTCAGTGAAAATGAATTTGCTATTCCCAAGATACAGATTCAGATGTCATAAGCCATTGTTATTCAGAAAGAATCGAACGTTTCATGCTGTGGTGAATGCATAGGTAAGGTGGAAGTCTGTAAGGAGAGCATGTCTTGTAGGCAAAGAACCTTTTTTGGAAAACGACTAGATTTTGCTAGTGCCACTAAAAGTATTGTTCTATGAGTAGAACTGCAAAGTTCTGTTCTAATTCTTCGTGCCCCAGTATTAGTTTGTGTAAAGGAAGCATAATTTTGCTCTACTGAGTTATTCCAAGTGAATCTTTTTTGTTAGATCCTTCAGAGTTCTTATATAAGACATACCCAGATGACAGGTTTCATTTCTTCTGTTTTGAATACTGTCTATAAAAAGGGTAGAGTTTGAATGTGACTCAATATACATAAAGATTTGTACTTCCAATAGGCTGAAAATATTTTCAGAAGAAAGTGTTCCTCTCTTTGGGCCTCCCCTTCCGTCCCCACCTGTGTTTACAAATCACCAGGAATTCAGGGATTTTGTGTTGGTGAAACGTAAGTCGGTTTTTACTTCGTTAGAAACACTTTTTTAATAAGTGCTTTAACAAACTGAAACTCATGATGCTTAAAATGTAAGCATATTTTGTTGTGTATGTTGCTGATCTGTATACAATTTCTTTTTCCAAATCAGTAACATAGGTGGGATGTCAGTTCCATCAAACTGTTCTAGTAAGAGTAACAAAAAACCTGATTTTCTCTGCTTCTTAGGCCACTAGGTACAAGCTGACTTTTACATTTGCAGAATGTGCAGCCATATTTAGCTTTACATTTTCTTAAAGGATTTGGAGATCTGAAAGAATTTATAATGCTGTTCATAATTTAGTAATAGAAAGTGTTAGTATCTCTGAAAACCTGAAAATAGAAGCTTTTCTGAATATATTCTTAAAGGTGTTGAAGTGCACCTATGCAGCACTTTTTAATTCTGTAATGGTTCAGTTCCAGTTTTCATTGATCCTTATTTGCCCTTCTAAATCAGCAAGAAGGAAATCTTTGAGAACTACTCATGATGATTACAATTAGATGCTTACCTGACAGGAACTTGACTGATAACTCATTTCATGTATTTAAATTGTTAGTACTTAAATTGATTAGCAGTTTGTCTGTAATTTTTTTATTAGTTAGGTGTTTATTGGGATGCCTTGTGAAATTCTCCTATTACTAATTTTTCTCTTTTAAGCTTTAGGGATTGTTATTCACTAAAACAAAAAAAAATGCAAAAAGGAGGCAACTCTAAATTAATAAGGACAAAACAGGTGTTTTGGTACAGAAGCAAACTAGAGTCAGTGGAAGTTGTCAAAGTTCATTTAGGTAATATGTCTTTTTTTCCATGATTCTTTAGTAATAAATGGGGAAAAAGCCACCTTGGAAACACCAACGTTTTCTCAGAAACGTCAACGCACTCTAGACATGCTGATCCGCTCTTTATACCAAGACATGATGCCTGATCTACACAGGGTAAATGTAAGTCAGAAGTTTCTGCATCCCCTCACATGTGCCTTCCTCACTGTTTTGGTGCTTTAAAAGACTGCCATGTCATCCTAATGAGCACTGAATTGCATACAACTAGGCTAAATGTGAACTGTCATATAACTTATTTTACAGTTACATGAAAGTTGGCAGACAGTCCTTTCTGGATAGGGCTATTTACCAGGTGTGAGGAGAAGCATAACAATGTCATACTTAGTGTAAGCTTACCCGTGGCAAGGAAGTAGGAAATTTAGGCACTGAAAATATTATATGTATTAGTCTTGTCACCATAAAAACTGCATTTACTCATTCTGTTATGTGTCGATTTGGATGATTTTTACTGTTAGATGAGATAACTATTTTAGAGGATGAAGACTTCTTAATAAGGTAATTCCTAACTAACTAAAAAGAAGCTCAATACTTCTGAAACTAACAAGGTGCTATTTCTTCCCCACTGTCTATTTCTCTTATCTAAATAGATCTGCCTAAACATTTTTTTTTCTGTATATTTGTCATATATTCATGTGGTATGATTTGCCACATGACAGTAGTAAACCATGACCAGTTGGAAGGTAAAGCACTCAAGGATTGGAAGAGTTGAAATTTCTCCTCTCTGAGAAGCTATACAATTAGATTCATCACTACAGGAAAGTATACTAAACCAGAAAATTTAAATGATGTCACATTAAGTTACTTCAGATGAAAAGATTTTGAAAACTTTTCAGGTTAAAAAAGAAACATTTTCTGTTTTAGAACATGCTCAATAGAAGGTCCTTCAGTGATGTGTTACCAGAGTCCCCAAAATCAACACGGAAGAAAGAGGAAGCTCGACAAGCAGAGTTTGTTCGGCTCGGTCAGGTAGGGTCGGTTTAGAAGGTATGCAGGTAGGGTTACAAAGGCTGTGTTACCCCTTTTGTTAGAATTTGATTAGCTTGCAGTTATGTCAGGACTTCACGGAGTTTTCTGTGATCAGAAATAGTTTTGTAGTATTGCATTATTTTAAGCTATGTTAAAATAAAATATGAATAGAAGTATTTATCTGTAGCACCTAAGGTACACAACACAAGTACAAATACTTATATAGTACCTAAGCTAAATGAAGGTTGGAAAAATCGGACCTTAGAATCAAACTTAGAAGGTCTTTCTCTGCTTTATGCAGCGGATGTGTTCTGCCTCCAAGCAGAAGAGTGCTCTGTCTTTTTCTGTGCTTTGGAAAAACATAAACTTTCATGGATTTCTTCCATATGTTTTATTAAGATTGAATTTCTTAGAAAATACTTAGCCAACTTTAGTCAGAAAGAAGTTTCAACAATCTTTCTGCTAAATCAGAGGTTGCCGCACATCTTTGAACATAACAGATGCTAACTCCAATCTTCTATGGGCTTATTAATATCTTGATTCAGTGAGGAGTAAAGCTTCCTGATGATAGTCTGCTTTGATCTGACAGTTCATTGTAGCAAAGAAGTCACAGTGTCTATGCTTCCCCTGTTCTCACTTGTTTCTTCTTGATTCTGAACTGGTGTCATGGTTCTGCAGCTTATCTTAAGAATATCTCTTTCTGAGCTGATTTAACTCAGCAGGAGTTAACAGACCAGGAAACCAAAACAAAAAAAAAAGAAACAAAACAAAAATTCACACTTACCAACAGAACCCAAGTCTCCTCTCTTCCCTTCTATTTTTTTTTTATTGTAGTAATCTAAGGAATAGATGATTCTGAGAAGTTCTAGGTCTGGTTAAAGGAAGCGAATGGTACTGGGTGGTTGAAAACTGGTTCAGAAAAATCTCAGGGCTATTAAAGCTTGCATTGACAAGAACTGCAAAGTCTGCTCCTTTGTGCTTTGCCCACCCTTTCCCCCATCACCTTGAAATAACCAGTCACTTCAGGCGGGTTAAAAAAAAAAAAGCTGAATGTGGTTGTAATATTGAGACAGGAGTAACCAATGATTTTATTCCCCAAGTTTACTTTACATAAGTTAAGGGAAAAAAAAAGGTTATTAAAAGTATAGAAACCTATAACCTTGAGCCCCTTCCACCTCCCACAAGTTAAACACTGATAAGATACTCATGTAACAAATCTAGTTGGGACTCATTTCTTAAGCAAGACTTCCGTCCTTAACATGATCTTCATTGAAGGAAAATCTAATATGTGGGCAAAAACTTCATGGATACCTGTTTGCGTTTTTCTTGGAGCTTCTTTTCACATTAAAATCTTTCCCTTGTCTGAAATATCTTTCCTCTAAGTTACAAACTATAGGCTTGAACACATTTCAAGATGCCTTCCAAGTAGCTGTTAATCATTCTTACCAAACTATGAATGTCTTTCTCCTTTAGTTGTAGTCAGTTGAGTTTTTAGATGGTAAACAAAACTTACTGATGACTGATTCAGCAGTATATTTAAATCATTTAATTATTGTCAAGGTGATCTCTTCTGACTGGTGAGATGGAATTAAAATGTTCATACAGTGAAGTCTTTCGTGTATCTCTGTAAGCTGACAGCCATGCTTAATGCAATTGTGCAAATGGTACATGCAGCTGATTACTGCCACTTCACAGAGACTATCCATGATTGTAGGCAAATTTTGGGGCAATAAAATTAGTTTTATGTTAGTTCTGAGCTTTGCGTTAAGGAATGCCGTGACAATTCCATGTGTCACCATTTTATGGGAATACGGGTGTAAAAGTTAGCAATGAAGGTATATAGGATACCTTAAAGAGATTTACTGTGCAGCTCACTGAAACTAAGTATGTATGATATTTCTCTGGAGATCTTGACCCTTTCAAAATAAAGTCTCTTCTAGTTGAAGAATTTGTGATCCTGTGACTGTGTGTCCTTGGGATACCTAGCAATACATGGATAGATAGATAGATGGTTTGACTTAGTGTTTGTTTGGAAGTTTTGCAAGTAGAAGGCCAGTTTGTGTAATTGATAAAAGAATCCTCTATCCAGTCAGATTATACAGTAAATTGTGTAGATGTTTAGCTTGTATTGTTTGAGGTGGAGGTTTTTCTCTGTTATTATGTTTGACTCTTCTTTTCTGATTTTGAGTTTCCATTTAGAAAGCAAACAAGCAAAAAAAACCTAAACAAAAACCAGCCAATATATGTTTTGGCTGAGAAGATACGTAGTAACCATCTAGTGATTCATGCAGACTTTGTTCAGGGTACAAAATTCTACTTCTTTTCTAATTACTTAAAGTGGTGTAGGAATTCCAAACTGGAATTACTTTATCGCCCTAAATTGTCCTTTTTATATAGTCATTAGCTTGAGTATTGCTGACAAAAACTCAGTTTAAATAAAACATCTGTTTGTATTAGGCACTGAAATTGAAAACCACTATGAAAGGGGATACCACAGCTAACTTGGCAACCACAAGCTTTTGTAAAAAGGAGGTGAGTGAAACTGTCTGTCTGAGAAAACTTATGAAAAATTAAACATTATCTAGTATGGCATCTCTTTATTTACTTCTGTAATTACATGCTGCAGCAGAAAAAATGAAACGTATAGTATCAAAGTGATTCTGCAGTTACTATCAGATTAATAAAGGATGAGCCTGGGGGCAGAAGCACTTCTCAAGTTAAAGCAAGTGTGGACATTTTTATATCTGAGAAAATTTGATGAAAGTGCCATTTTCCAAATGCAATCATCTTTTATTTTAACTTCAACAAGTTTAGAAAAAATTTAGTTGTATTTTCATTCTGTGTAGTACCAGATTTTGTTTGAGATCATTAGGGAGTGAAATACGCAAACTGCACACTTCTGCATGCATTTTACATACAGAAGCTTCAGAACGGCATCTAAAATTTCAGATTATAGCTAGTATATAAACTGGGAGAGGAGGGGCAGACTCTGGGAGGTAAGTACAGAGAAGAACACAGGATGAAAGAACGATTCAGTAGAAAGGCAGTTTTAACTATACCATGTGCTAGTGACTAAACATCACAAACTGAACCATAAAATGTAAGCAAATTGTGTATGCGTGGTGGTACATATTTTTAAGTCTATCAGTCTGTTTTTTTAAAGTAAAATGCATATAGAGTATTTCCAGGGTTGCACTGAGTATCAGCTGCATGCGTTTTAATTCCAGTGTTTCAGGAATGTGTCTTACATTTACTAGTCTCCATGCCAGAATTAATACAGAATTTCCTCTGCAAGAAAATTAACACAATTTTGATATTTCAAAAAATATACTGTTTGGAAATGTATCCTGCCAAAAGCATTTACATGTTATTATTTGCCATTGTCCATCACATTCTGTGTCTGTATGATCTGTATTTCTTAGTGTACTTAATTTGTATCCCTTATGTTGCTTCATAGCCTTGGGAATCTCAATCTTTCTGCAGTAATTTTCCTCATGAGGTTGTCTGTGCAGATTCTTGGGGCCAGTCCTTGCTGGTTTCTACAGATGCTGGCATCTTGTTAATAGATGGTTAGTAAATGATCCAGTGTTTTTGTGTCAATTTTTATGTATCTGACCATTTTCTTGAAAATGTATGTTCATAAGGTCTGTTCAGTTATTGATAGGTCTTTACATATAGGGATAGTTACTAATCCAAGGGAATTTATTGCATTTATGTAACCTAGCTGCAAAAATTCTCTCTGCTCTGGAATCAAGCCGTATTGGGGAGTGAATGTTAATGCAGATTTCTGCATGTTTTCTTATTTCAGATGTTGTTTTCTTGATCATCTGAAAAGACTTAGGAGGTTGCATCCAGGCTCGAGGAGTGTTTAAATGGCTTGTCTGATTTCTTAGCCCTTGATGATAGTGAGCATGAAGCTGAGGGCTTATGTGACAGTGAAAGCCTGCTTCTTCCATTAACATTGATATTGCTCTTTGACCCCTTATCTTCTGTGTGCCACATAAGGCCAGCAGGACTGAGGGAATGAAGTTAGTTCTTGGTCATAATTCTTGAACTTTCCAAAGGAAAGTCCCTTTTAGGTTTCAGTTGCATAATCTGATCCATGGCAATCATAAAACTCTCCTGTGAGGTAGTATTGCCTATGATGCTGTGGTATACATAGCAGCTTTGTGGAGTTGTTTTTTTTTCCCTCTCTTCATTTTTGTAAGAAAAAAAATCAAGGCTTTTATTACAAGAAAGAAAGGGTTCAAAACCAGTGACTAGCAAAGTTTAGCAGGATTTTGAATAGATGTGTGTGTTTCTTTTTTAGATGGTCAACCGTCAGTGCAAGTATTTGATAAAACTCTCCAGATAAAGCAGATGCATGTTTTGGAAGCTCTGGATCTTTTGATTGCCCGAACAGACAAAGGTAGGAGAGGTCCCTGTTCTTTGATTCCTGTATGAATCTGACTGTGGCTGGGTATGTGTGTCTCATGAGGCAATTGTGTCTATCAGCATAGGTATGTTAGATGCCTTATTTAGAATGAAGGAGCACATACAGAAACTGCTGTTACTTTCTGAAAGGCTGGGGAGGAGTTGGAGATGGAAATACCCAAACGCTCATTCGTGCTTCCTTCAAGGCAAGCCTGAAACTGGTCATATTGTCAGTTTATGGCCACCATTAGAACTTGACATTTTTTGCAAATATCTGTGACTGAATTATATATTCATTCAGTTGCACAAAAACATGGGGGTAATTACTTATGCTGTCACTATTTTACAAAATGTGTTTCATTGGTATTTATGCTGTTAAATGTCACCACATCCTAGAGCTATAGAATGTATTTTCTTGAAGCTTCTGGTATAAAACAACTTAAAGCATTATGCTTTGCTTATATTTGCTCTGTTTGTTAGATGCTGCTTCTCTTTGGAAGTATTAATTTCAAACTGCCATTTTCTTTTTTTAACTTCTTGTTTCCTGGTTCTCTTCCTGTGTCAGGGAAGGACTCTCGTCTCCTCGTCTTCAGACTCAGTGCTGTCCAAAAAGATATAGAGACAAAGCAAATTATAAGAAGCAAATACGACTGCAGAGAAAATAAACTAGAGAGAACAAAAGGTGATTTTATTTCCACTGTGATATGATGCCAGTAGTTGCCAGGGGCTTTTTAGCTCCCTTGAGGCAGTTGTAGGTGTTCACTTTAGTGTTTTCTCTTGACAGTTAATTCAAACTTTGTTAAGCTTGTATTTGACGTATTAGAATGTTGTAAAAGTATCATGTTACTTGACAATTGCTGCTGATGAAAAGTGTTAGAGAAAAATAGGATTTCAGGATTGGGAGGTATGAGAAGAATTTTGCAGGGATTTAAACTGAAATAAAGCACACTTTAAGTTCAAGGAACACTGGCAAATCTCCATTACATAGTAGTTCTTAGATTAGTCTGGGTGTTGCTGATTATTTTAGTAGACATAAACATTTTCTGGTCTTCAGAAGCAAGCTGCTTTGGAAAGCTGGAACCTGCAGAATAGTGAAAATCCATGTATTTAGGAATAAGGGTAAAATAGATTTCAAAGGAGTCATAGGCTTTTGTCTTTTTCTAGAAGTTGATGTTATCCTGTTGAGGGGGGTTTAATTCTGTGTTGCTAAGACATGCATCAGAGCCCTGTTGTACTAATCATCGTAAAAATACAGAACAAAAAAATCAGACCCTACCCCAACCACCTACAGTCTAGAACATTATTTCCTCAGGCTGCCATTTGTATGCCATAAATACTCACCACGGAAGTGAACTGAGGATTGTTGTGGCTATTCGAAACAAACTACTTCTTGTCACAAAGAAATATAATCCACACCACAGTTTAACCAGCAGCTCTGTGCTCTCATCACCTGAATCTCCAGTAGAGGAGTTCCAGTACATCCGGGTATGTGTAATCTAATTACAAATTACCTTAACAGACTGGGCAGCAATCAGCTAGTGCGGGGAGTGTGGGAAAGGCAAAGAACGTGCATTATCATCACCCCAAACCTCCAGACAAATAAAAGTGAGATGTCATATGATGGAGTTTGATCATATATATGCCAAAGAAATCTTTCAGATTTTTTAGAAATTAAGTTTCAGCTTGTTCTTTGTCATGTTGCTGTGCTCAGAGCACATCCCTTTAAAATCATGGAGTACCTGCAGCACCCACAGTAGGAGCTTGAAAAAGAGAATAATTCCATTATTTATGTTATAGGAAATATGCCTTTCTGACCCTCCAGTGGTTATGACGCTGGTGGATGGACCTACTGGAGAGAGTGACAATATGATCTGTGTAGCGTATCGGCACCAGTTTGACTTAGTCAATGAGAGCACGGGGGAGTCCTACAGACTGCATCATGTTGAAACAAATAAAGTAAGTTTGCATCATTGAAACCTATGTTTTTGCAGAGCCCCACTGAACATAACTTCTTGCAGACTCAGTGCATCCTATGCTGACCTCCTGAGAGTGTAATTTATGGAGATCCTCGTGTCTGTTACTTTTCACTTCTAGAATGCTGCTTTATGGCACCCAGAGATATTTGTTCCTTTTGGGATATGTGATAAAAACAACTCCCAAGAGAGGTAGTTATAAGATATGATATGTGTGGTGGGTTGACCTTGGCTGGACAACAGGTGCCCACCCAGCCACAGGAAAGAGACTGTGTTTCAGGCTCTGGAATATTGTTACCATCGTAAATTCATTTTTCTCCTTTCTTAGTCAACAGTTTGCTTTTTGCTTCATCTTTGTGGTATCAAAGTTTTGTTGTTTATGAAATTGCATCAAAATAACTTCAGTTGTTGGCGACCAGTATCTCATTCAGATTTGCCTATTTGCATGTACTATGGCTAAGATTTTTACACATAGCTTATATTTCTATTTAAGAAACTGCTGCCCAGTCAAGTAATAACTGAATCTTTCTATCCCGGACATTAAAATTAATAACAAAAGAGTCTGCATTTAGAACATGTTTATCTATTTATTTACTTATTTCTTTTTTTTTATTTTATCCTCCAACTGATTGTCTTGCTTGTTAGTCAAAACCCTGCTGGAATAATCACAATATCCTCTGCCTGCTCTTAACCTTTTCCATTATCATTACAGGTTAATTTTGTTGCGGCTATTGATGTATATGAAGATGGCGAAGCTGGTCTACTGTTGTGTTATAACTGTAAGTGTTAACAGAAGGACAAAAATGGTAATAGCGCAATCTGCGTATATAATTCTTTTTTCATTGGAGTCTAGGTCTGTATTTTAAAATAAATTTTAGTATTTCCTGGAAAGTTTGTAAAATATAGTCTTTTGAACTGAGATGCATATCGGAGAGACTGGAAATTCAAGTATTATTTTAGACATACTAGCTGTTTTATAGATGTGCATCTCTATATTTGTAGATGTTGCCATGTTAAAAAAAGTCCCGTTTTTTTCAGATTTGGCTCATTCTTTAGGTAGTTACACAGTTATTAGATGTTTTCAAGACATGTACAATTTAGCATTTCATCCCTTTTTCCTTGTGTGATGTCCCATTCTGTCTTTGTGTTTTTTTCTTCTGCCTGCTTCTTGGCACTATTGCATTATTTCATTGTAATTCTCTCAATCTCCTTTTATAAAATAGTCTTGGATATAGAATCATAGAATGTTAAGGGGTCGGAATGGACCTTAAAGATCATCTAGTCCCAACCCCCCTTGCCATGTGCATGGACACCTCCCACTAGAAAAGGTTGCTCAAGGCCTTATCCAACCTGGCTTTGAACACTGCCAGGGTTGGGGCGAGCACAACCTCCCATGTTCTAGAATCTAACTATTCTCACAATAAAACATTTTTTCCTGATATCTAACATAAATTTCCCCACTTTCACTTTGTACCCATTACTCCTTGTCCTGTCACTACACTTCCTGATGAAGAGTCCCTCTCCGGTTCCTTGGAGGCCCCTTCAGATACTGCAAAGTTGCTATGAGGTCTCCACACAACCTTCTCGTCTCCAGACTGAATGGCCCCAACTCTCTCAGCCTGTCCCCACAGGGGAGGTGCTCCAGTCCTCTTACCAACTTCGTGGCCTCCTCTGGACTTGCCCCAACAGTTCCATGTCCTTCTTATGTTGGGGACACCAGAATTATGCACGGGACTCCAGGTGGGGTCTCACAAGAGCAGAGTAGAGGGGGAGAATCCCCTTTCTTGACCCACGCTCCTTTGCATGCAGCCCAGGATTCCATTGGTTTCTGGGCTGGGAGCACTCACTGCTGGCTCATGTGGAGTTTTTCATCAACCATCATCCCCAAGTCCTTCTTCCAGGGCTGCTCTCAATCCCTTCTCCGCCCACCCTGTAGGTGTGTCTGGTGTAGGACCTTGCGCTTTGTTTTGTTGAACTTCATGAGGTTTGCACAGTCCCGCCTCTCAAGCCTGTCAAATTTCCTCTGGATCAATCTCTTGCCTTCAGTGTGTCGACAGGACGACACAGATTGGTGTCATCAGTGAACTTATTGAGTGCCTCGATCCCACTGTCTCTGTCACCAGTAAAACTGTTGAACAGTGTCAGCCCCAGTACTGATCTCTGAGGGATGCCACTCATCACTGGTCTCCATGTGGACAATGAGCCATTGACCACAACTCTTTGTGTGTGGCCATCCAGCCAGTTCTTTATCCACCAAGTGGTCCATCCACCAAATTAATCTGTCTCCAATTTGGAGATGATGATGTCGTGCAGGACAGCGTCAAATACTTCGCATAAGTCCAGGTAGATGATGTCAGTTGCTCTGCCCTATCCACCAACATTGTAGCCCCATCACAGAAGGCCACCAGATTTGTCTGGCATGATTTCCCTCTTGTAAAGCTGTTACCAGTCAATATATAAAATGCATACATGCTCTTCTCTGCAGTACACAGGTAGTTCTGATCCTCATGAAAGTAGAAGCACTTGGCATGAAACAGCCTATGTGAGGCAATGCTGAAGGACAAGGCATGGCTTTCTCTGTAGCAGAAGACATGTCCTGTTTGCCTCTCCAAAGTGAACATCAATGGAGACAGGATAAATATGCCTGTGTTCTGGCACTGGCTATCAGATTGTTACCATGGAACGAGTTATAAGTGTCTCTAAACTCTGTGAGGCCCTATTGGTTCTGGTTGCTTGCTATATCCTACCTGGTTCTAGTTCTCTTAGCACTGCTTCAGAATTAAAAAGCTGTCTGACAGAGCATAGTGAATTCCCTATATTTCTTTTTGGGATAGACCCATTGCTTAGCCAAAACTAACAAACTTAGCTGATCTGAAAGTTATAATAAAGGTGCTGCACGCGCTTACAGCAACTTGAATTCCTGTTTCTAGGGCGGTGTCTTAGGGAAACCTACATTTGTTCTTTAGAGAATTTTAGGATTCTGAAAGAATCATCATAGAACAAATATGAAAACGCAGGATTTGGCAGTGCCCAAGTTTGTATTAAGAAAAAACGTGTAATACATTTATGGACGTAAACTTTGATTCAGTGTAAGGACATCGCTTACGGGGGAAAAAAAACATTTTGCCTAAAAGATATAAAAGAGCTGTAAGCGACACATGTTTGACAGGATCATAGTTGTTTACTTGGTGCACACATATGAGCTTGTCAAGAAAAAATTACGATCGCAATTGCTTCTTGTTTCTAAGCTTTCCTGTTGTTTGTTGATACGACTTCTCAAGTCTTGTACTTTAATAGATGTTTGATTAGCACTAGTGCATGTGTTTAAAAAAAAATTCTGTTAGTACTGAAAGGTTCCCCATTATCTAGTTCTGTCTATTAACAATTCAGAATTACATGCTTGATTATGTATACAATGACCACACTTATACAAAATCTCCCTGTAAAACTGGTGTTTGTCACTTACAGTTTAAGGTTATTGATGCTGCTTTTTTCTATTTTGTTACAGATGTTTGCCAATACAGAAAGGTATATCCTTTCAGTGGAGGTTCTCCGCTGATCCAGCCATCAGCTTATGACTTCCACTTCAGCTGGAATCAAGTTCCTTATGCTGTTGGTAAGAAAATATCTCTTTTTACTAGATGGTTGTTTTTCATTACAATTTTAGCTTGCACTTGGTTCTTAGTGGAATTACCATGTTCTAGGAACACTTCATTACTTTGTTACATTCATGATGCCACTTGAGCTTAGTTTCTGCATATGATTAAATTTAGAAAGTGTAGTCTTGGTGCCAAGTTCTTCCTTTGCTGAACTCTTTCTTCTGTTTTTCATTTTACATTCACTCTACATTCTGCCAGGCATGGAGAGTGAAGTTTTCTTCAGGCTTGATGTAACCTGTAGACAAACTTTTCATAGGAAAGGGAGATGCCAGAAGAAATCAAGAACAGTTTTCATGGAGCATCCTAAAAACTTTCACATTAAAGAATTTTACCATTTTTCCTTGCCAAATAACTTTTCTTTCATTGCAGTCTGTGCTTTCCCTTATATCCTTGCTTTCACTACTGATTCCATTGAGATCCGATTAGTGGTGAATGGGAACTTAGTCCACACAGCAGTTGTGCCTGAGCTTCAACTTGTAGCATCAAGGGTAAGACACAGTAAAATCATGTTTGACTATTTCTGTGATATAATTGGGATCTAATTCGCATAAAAGTTGCTGCAGCTAAAAACCTAACAAGCCAAAACTGAAATATGTGCTTTTTGATCTGTGTTGACTGTTCACGTTTGCTTTTAGTTTATATCAAGTACAAAGAGAATCAGGATTGATCATGCTGCCCTTTATTGGTTGCGGTAATACAGTTCTAAGATACTTGGCTGTTTATGGGGCAAATGCTCTGCTCAACATCACAGATGTTCCCTCCACTTACAGTGATAACCTTTCTATGAGCAACCCTTGTTGACCAAGCAGCAATACAGTAATAGTGACAGTAGAACATAGTGGACAAACTCTTACTTGGAAGATGGTTAAGAAAGTCTCACTGTACTAATAGTGAGTTATTTGTCATTTCAGTCAGACATTTATTTTAAAGCAACTGCTGCAGTAAGTGGATCATCAGACAGCAGCTCTAAGGAAATGAGTTCAAAGAGTTGTCCTCAAACACCGACAGCTTACGAAAAGCCAGAATGTCCTCTTTCTTCTCTAGAAGGTAATGTGGCAGCTTGAATAATGGTCTCTAATCATTCCAATAGCTATCGCATCTCAGTGAAGCTGACCTTTAGTAAAGATGGTAAAAGATCTTGAGTTCCTGGCTGAGAGTCTGGAGGAAAAGAGGTTTCCTATTAAGTGACAGATATGAATTACCTGGCTGAGCTTTTGCCCTATACAATCTTTTCTAAATACATGATAGCACTGTTCTGAAGAAATAATTTCTGTAGGAGGGGAGGAATTAAGCTTCAGTAGCTTGATGCATCTTTGATAATATGGCCACGAATAATAATGCAAAAAGAGGCATAAAATAGTGGGAAAACTTGAGATTTCGCATACACCATGTCTTTCATTTAAGAAAAGCTAAACTACCACTGGACGGCTAAATCTCTTTTGTGAACCAAAAGTAAGTTCTAGGCTTGAAAAAGTTTGCACAGTCAATTTAGTGTAACATGATCTGTAAACAATCAATCTATAGTGTAACAATAATGGAGAAACAAGGGAACATTAACTAGATAACGCAAGATGTATGTATACCTTTCTTCTTTAAATCTGCTGGTGCACTGTTAGCAGAAGGGGGAAGGAGAAGGTAATCACAATTTCAGTTTTTTACAGGCAGTTTAGTTTTTTCTAGGAATTAGGAAAACATGCTATTTTATGCTGCCTAAGAGGAGGTGTCATAATTTAAACTACTTGAGATCCAGGCTCCAATATATTTGCAGTATGTTAAAATGCATGGGGAATATTGCAGAGTGCAGAGTCGTGTTGTAATAGTCAAAGTACCAGCCTCAAGTTGTATTAATTTACTTCCTGGATCTGCTGCTGATTCTTCATGTCACCAAGAGTCAATCTTCTTTTTCTCTCTATTTCTTCCTCCTCCTATCTTATTTATATTGAAAGATCTCCAGAGCAAGAAGGATCTTTGTCATTTGGGTTAAAAAGCACCCAGCTCAACAAGTATAACTTTTCTTTATAACTTTTCATTTGGAAGTGTTAAGAACTGATTCTGTTGTGAAAATGTAACATTCTTATTTCTTTCTGTATTTCAGGTGAAGTTCCATGCAGAAACCTGTACAAAATTCCTCTCAGCAATCTGGTTGGGCGAAGCATTGAACGACCTCTGAAGTCACCTTTGGCTCCCAAGGTCATCGCTACTACAACATCCAGTGGCATTGCCTCACTTCCAGTTACACACTCACTGTCCTTATCTCGTATGGAAATTAAAGAAATTGCAAGCAGAACACGTAAAGAATTGCTGGGTAAACTCTCCTCATTCTTCAGTGTACATGTCAGTTGCCAATTACATGCTTTCTAATCTTTGGGCCATCACAGTTAGATTTGTAACATGCAGCTAGTATTCATAAATTATTAAAATAAACAACAAAATGAAACTGTGAGGAAACATTATTTGCAAATAGTACAACCGTTGTCTGATCATATATAAGATGACCATATTCTAAGCCAGGTAGAGATGGTTAATAATGGAAACTAGCAACAGATACCTTAACATTTTCATGAATGCTTTATTTTCTGTTGAGAGTATTAAGTCTTTTATTCCTTTATTGAGGCCTTTTGGATGAGCCTATACCCAAGACAGAAAGCGCACAGAAGCACAAAAAGGTTCCTCGAAGACAGTCAGACCCCAAGCAGGGAGCAGTAAGATCGACTAGTAGTGACAGGTAAATATACTGGCTTTAGAAAAGAGACTGAGTTAGACTGTAAATATATTTAGAATTGATTGCTCATGCTTATCTCAGTTGGCTGGGGCTGACTGAGACCTTTGTATACCCATATGCATTTCATGCTAATGTGTTTGCTAGAGTATCTTAATACTGTAAGTACAGATCCGATTATACTTTTTGCCTAAGACACATTGATGAGCAAAGCAAGACTAAATGGGATTTTGTGGGGGCCTGCTGCAGTTGAGCCTGTAATTAAGATTTGGACTACTGAGTCTGCACTCTGCAGACTCTCTTGCTTTTTCCTTCATATGCTCGTGTTGCTATTTCCAGAATAAATTTTGTGAAGAAACACCATAGCATTTGTCTGTTCGGCACTGACCCCACTGCCATTCTCTTGTTTTCACTGTTTTCATAAGCTCTGTTTGTGTAGAATACTGGCAGAATTCAGCCAAGATACAGGAGACTGAGATTAACCAAACAAACAAAAAATCTGCTACAGTGTAAAACCATGTTCGGTTTAGTTCTCTATTTGGAAGTTTGTTGGATGAGGGGCTTCATTAATACTACATTTTGATTATTTTCAGTAGAGTAAAACAGGAGGAAACACAGTTGCAGTGGTCTGTATCTGTCTTTAGGATAACTTGATTGAGTCTAGAAAGAGCCATTGTTCCTTCTTGCCTCGAACTGTGTATTTTTTTTAGTAACTTTTGTCTTCGTCTTTGCAGGATAATCTCAAGCTCTTTTGAAAGCTATTCTGAAAGACGTCATCTTTCCACTAGTTCAGATCCTGATACTTTAGCACACAGGGAGGGGAGCTCACCATCTAGCTATCCATTTCAGCTGATTTCTTTATATGATGAAGACATCATTGACTTGAAATGAAGACAGTCATAAAACCTTTGTTCCTTACTTCACATTTTCTTACAACTCTGTGAGCTCTATGGGAATGTCACAAACACTGCTTCTGGTGGTAAAATGCAGCTGGAAGTACTGGTGATAAATCTTTATAGAACCCATGTTGTTCTGGCTAGCACAGCCTGATTTGGTGATGCTTATATCTTTGACATAGGTATGTTTTCTCAGTTAACGAACCATTACTTTTTGTGGCATTCTAACAAGTAGGTAATCAATGATAGATTTAGGCTGAAACTGAAGTAAATGAGAAGTATTACTTGTTCTGAGCTTCTTATACTTTGAAGTACCTGAATGATAGGCAGGAAAGTTAATTGCTGTTGTGACTATCATGAGTTGTTTTACAACAGTGTATGCCATGTAAAAAGAGGAATTTTATAATATAAATCAATGCTTTTGGTTTTTCAGTCTTAAACAAAACAACAACAAAAAAAAAGAGGCTTGCAGGCAAGGTCATTTCAAACAATGCAGTCAGTCTTTGAAATGATGCAGCTCTGGTATGTTCACTGAATAATCAGGTAAGATATGAAGATACTGCTTTCTTTGCTTTGGCTTGTCCATGCACATTGTTTAGAGAAACTTGAAAACTGTTTTGGCATTAAGAATCCTTGAGCAGAGAAACTTTTTATAGAAAACACAAGCTTTCAAACTATTTCTTAAGAATTGGAAGTAAAAAACCCCTAAAAACCCCACAAACAAACAAGCATAAAAACCCCAAATCAAAACCCCAATCCATCTACTGGAAAATTTTTATTGTAGTGCATCTGCAGATTTTTCCATTACAGGCAGAAGAGCCAACCCCGATTGTTTTGACTACACAAAGATTCCTGTGCAGGCATCAGTGTTAGCTGATGTCTGCACTAGCACCAACAGTGTAAGTCATTGTTCCAGACAGTTGTATTTTTCTAACTGGATGGAGACTGAAATTTCACTGATAATAAGCTAGTTTTCTATGATGAAATAGTCATCTTGGCTTTTATGTTTTATATTGGTTTTATATTGAAAAGTTGATTTCTTTTTTTTTTTTAACCCTTTCCTCTAGAACCCCTTTGCAAGGGGTTTGTTTTGCTTGGTTTTGGTTTTTTTCATGAAAGCATAAAGCTTCCAACCTTTTTATACATGAAGTTTTTAGCTTTATTAGCAAGTATTTCTTGTTATTTATGTAGAAATACTCCCGTATCCTTGATTTTATTTCACAGTACCATTCACATGTCATGATTTCACTTTCTGTTCAAGTATGGTCATCTGGAGATGTGTGCCTTTTTCTGCCGTCTGTCTGAATGTAAAACTGCTTTTGCAAAGTACTTTTTTCTCAGTTTATTGTATATAATGGCTGAACTGCTCCACCTAAGAAAATATCTAAGGCCTTATCTGGAAGCATCATTTCTTACTCTCAACTGGAGTGGCTAATCAAGAGAAGAAGCAATATTTTCAACAGTAATTAGTCTAGGAGCAAAAGGCTATTATTATTTCAGTGGGTTTTGCACTCATAGATATGTGGGGTGAGCCTTAATAAGCATCTAAAAGGAAGTACCAGAGCAAAGTCTTTGCAAGAGCTTGTAATTCTTTTTTGAGAATGTTATTTCCAGAGACTGTATTAATTTACCCTATCCTTATTTATGTGGGCAGCTAAGGTTTAAAAAATCAATCTGAAAGTATCACGTGGTGCTTATTCTCCCGGAAGCTGTAAACACTTCTGTACTGAATCCACTTCCAGGGACACTGCTAGCACTTAGGTATTTTCAGAAAGCAAAAGAACCACATTTTCCCAATAAAATTTCTCAACGTAGTATTTAATTTCTGTTGTGTGGGTATTTTTGAAGAATATACCAGTGTGTTGCAAAACTGGGACTTTAGTTAAAATATAGTTTTAACTGGAAACTTTGCTTTGCCCTGTTAGGATATCAGATTTTAAATACATTGCAGATGTTCATCTGTGCTATTATAGCATGATTTAAAATTATTACCATGGTTCAATAGCAGTTGAAGTGATATATGGAGATTTTAAAACTTGTTGTGAAGAACCTGAACAAATACATATTTAGGTATCCTGAAAGACTAGCCTTAGAGGTGGAGCACTAGGGAGATCAAGAAAAATGAGAAGACCTTGACAGAAAGCTTGACTCCTGCCTATGATGGTAGTCAGAATGCATATACGTGTGGCACTTGTGAATTCTAGATATAATTATAGAAGAAAGGGCCATAAAGCAAGAGTTATTTTCTTTAACCAGAAGTACAGCAGTAGCTGTAAAGTATTACTTCAAATAAGGAGAGAGTGAGAGAGTGTGTGTGTGTGCGAAAGATCCTTTGAAGGTCTGCCTGTAATCACAGCATTGATGACATCTAGCCAATGAACTGTAAGAGTACAGATATTTGATTGCTTAAGCTAGACAAAACCAGATCAGACATGTACTTATCTGGAACAGGATGTTGGTATCATTTGAAGAGGGCAGCCCAGCAACTGCATCCCCTCCTACCTCCCACCTGAATTTTATTCTATAGCTTGATTTGATGGGTCAGGTAGCTGTTACTCAGGTCACAGTGAGAACTGCCAGACCTAACAGACTGTTACTCATATAGGACAGGAAGGATCTGAACCCTGGAAAAAAATTATGTATCTTCATTCTTAATGTGTCCAGTAAGTGCCTTAACAAGGCTTCCACTTATTGAGTTTTTGCTTCTGTAATTAATCAGTGCATCTTATAGGGATAATATCAGACCTAGCAAAAGAAGTAGGGAGGGATGATGCAACTTCTAGTTTGTTTTATGTGACACGTAGAGATGGTATTTGAGGCTTTAGGGTCATGTAAATGTAGTTTACTACCTACTTACTGTATGAGAGCAGCAGAGTATAGGTAGAAGGCAGAGAACATGGTAATAATATTCCAGTTTCATTTGACATGAGCCACAAGAACCAAATTCTGTATCTCATTTATTGTGTCAAAAGACAAAATATCAACACAATAATGTGAAATTGCTGGCATGGCAGGACAAATATCTACTGTACAAGAACATGGTTTCTGTGTGTTCTTAATAGTCTCATCTGACTACCATGAATTCTGTGCTTCTTAGTGTGATGAGTTGGTATTCTCTGAACTAGCTTCTAGCCACTGTTTCTCTCAAAATATTGTCTTAGATCCCTACCATTCAGACTGCTAATCAAAATCAAGAGGCAGTTGGTGGTATTGATATATAAGCTCTTGTGCATCATTTATGAAGGGCAAGGTTTTTATACATCTGTGGAACCTCTCCTACTTCAGACTGGTGTAAGAGGACAAGGCTTGTTAGAAGGCTGCTGGGACGAGCAACTATACTATCTTTCACTCCAGCATTAGAGCCATGTTGTTTCCCTTCTGCTTTTCCAGCATGTGCATGCATTAAAACTTAAAAAGTAATCCTGGGCACAAATTGTAGTCATGTGTACCCTAAACACAACCCTTCCCACTTTCACATCATATGTTAAAGCTGCCTGTAGGCTGCATTCTTGATGTTGGCTGACGATCTCATGGTTGGGAGAAAAGATAATCTTTGAATCTACAACTATGTGAGATGGGTGTTGTTCTAATAGGAAAACTGAAAAATCTTGCTACAGATGGATGGAAGACATTGTTTCCATGATGGAAGAATTGTTACCAGGTTGAACACACTTTCTGTCAAGCTAAGGTTAACTGAAGGCCTGTTCAGGACTCTTGGCTAAGTTTCTGCAAGAAATATTTTCTATCCCAATGTGCTAGATTTGTTGGCAGCAGCAGGGCTCTTAACCCCTTCTTGCTAATGGTATTGTCACCACTTCAGCACTGTGCCTTAGGGGGACTAAATTACAGGAATGTCATTTACTTTGGTGCAAGCGTTAGACTGTTCAGGCAGTTAATTTAGAATGTACTTGTGCCTCGGCACCAGCGTGGGTGACGATGCGTGGAATCACAAAATAGTTGAGGTTAGAAGGGACCACTGCATATCATGTAGTCCAGTACCCACACCCATGAACCTCTATTCAAAAATATTTTCAAAATGGGTATGCAGCACTTTGAGATACTTATCATCTTCGTCCTGCATTTGAATCACAGCATGCATATAAACCATCCAGCTTTGAAGTGTGACTCAAGAACCCCAAGACACGTGAGCTAAGTTAATTCTTTCACACACACAATATGCAGCCCTTAAGGCTGAGGCTTTGATGGGCCCTTTCCAAGGTCCCTAAAGCCCTATTTGGGCTTTAGAAACTGTTGCAGACTAACGGACATTTTTGTCCAGTTCTTTCTTCTAGTGTCAATGCAGTACACATAAATCTTAGAAGTGTTTGAAAGTAACAAAACACTTCCTTCTAATAAGAAACAAAGACCCACATGCAATTTGAAAGGTCTGTAGCTGTTCATGGTAGCAAGAGATCACGCAGTGAATGGATGCATGCATACATTCTTTCCAGGCTGGCAAGAAAAACGTAGGGCCTGTTGTAGTTACAGTCCTTCCCTTGTCTGGGGCTGAGGTGGGGTTCTTTTGGTTTGTTTTGGTTGGTTTGGTTTCTTGGGGTTGAGTGTGTTTGGTGTGGGGATTTTTTGGTTGGTTGGTTGGTTTCGTTGTGGTTTGGTTTTGGTTTTTTTGTTTATTTTGTTGTTGGCAGTGGTTGGTTGGTTTTTTGTGTTTTTTTCGATGCATAACATACATGCAAGTATGCACCTAGAATGAATAGCGGGTTTGCTATCTGCCTTCATGAGATTATTTCTATAAATGCACAAGCGTTTGGAATTGATTGGTAGATTCAAATTGATATTTTTATTTTATTTTTTTTAGTACTGTGATAGTCAACTGAATAAATATTTAAATAGTGCTTAATAAGGCAGGGGACGGGTACTGCTATTGCCTAACCAGTTACGTATGGTCAAAGTTGCTGCTCCTGACATACTTTCTGCTGTTCTATGTATGTTTGACCAAGTAACAGCCAGCTCATGTATGTTTTCTTAAAGGTGTGAGTCTATAACTTGTGCTTGCAGATGCAATGGCTTTTCCGGAGCTGTTGGCTTAGTCTGCATTTGAAACATATAATCCTTTGCGTTTGGATTTGGTTTTCAATATATATACATATATATGCATATATATATGTATATATATATATATGCACACACACATATACAAATATATATATATATTTGTAATTTCCACCATAAGTTTTAGGGGATTAAAAGTCCCAAGATTATATATATAGGAATCTAAAATAATGGGATCATAAAAGGTGTGGGAGGGAAAAGTCCCATCTGCAAGCAATAAAGAAGTTAAAAATAATTTTTGTTGGCTTCTGTGTATGAAAATGAGTATCATACTATTTTCATTGTTAACAATTTGATGTCATGGTTCATGTGCACAGTGCTTGCTAATTCTGTTAAAGCACTATTTTCTCAGATAGGCTTAGTCTGATTTTGTGAAGGAATAAATTATACCCTGGGAACCTAATATTAACAATATGGGAAGGCTCCAGAGATTATGCAGCAAATATTGGTACTTGCATGCAGGTTAGAAAGTATTTTTACTCTTATTAGTTGAGCACAGCAATTTCATCAGCTTGTATACTGCCTAGCTGCTTCCCTTTGTTGCTGACCTGTAACTGACTGATTCCTGTTTGCTACTGGAAATCGTGATATTAGCACATGACTTGAAGAGAAAATTAAGATATTATTTTCTGCTTATTTATAGCTCTATTAGGTATTTATCTGGTTGAATGGAAAATGTTATGTCTGTAAAGGTTTATGCAGAGTGTTATCAATCTGAAATGTCAGTTTAATTAAGCCTTTGAATGGTAGAAGACTGCTTTGTAATTTAATAATTGCATATTGTTAAGACTGTTGCTACATTTGTGTTCAAAGACTCTTTACTACTTGTCTTAAATGCTGATGTATTACCATTGGTTTTAATGTCATTTGATAGCGTGTATGGTTTGTGTTTTAGATGTGACATCCAAATAGAAACAGTCCTATTACATCTGGAACTGTTTAAGTGCTATTTATCACCTTTGTGAAGGAGAAACAGATGATTTATTCCTTCATATGTAATAAACTATAAATTTGACCTCACTTCTTTCTTTCACAGATGCAGAACTAGTGAACTCCAAATTTGGAAAGAAAAAAGACAAGAAATTAAAAAGACAGGAGGTAGCATAGAGCTCTGGATTACCGATTCCATTTGAGTTCTTTGAAGGGCTATATCCTACCTGTGAGATTGGTGTTTGTATCTTAAGCTTTACCCATCTTTGACCAGAAATATAATCCACATTGGTTTATGTTTCCAGGCATCTTTTAGACTTTGAGAGACGTGCTTCATTTGGAGATCTTTACCCTTTAAATTAACACTAGAAAAGATAGTATTTTTCCTTTTCTGACTAAGTGTATATTCTTGCTGTCTCCCAGACCCTGTCATTCCTTTTGTAAAAGCATCAATCTTTCCTGAAGTCTTGGAGACATTCTTCTAAGAGCTCCAGCCCTTCCTGTGATTTAAATGCATTCCTAGCCAACTTGACAGCAGTAGGAAAACACCCTAATGAAGGCCAAGCATTCATCTCCATTTGGGATTAAGACTTAGTCTGTGGTCAGGCATCCCAGAAATTGTAGCAGCAACACAAATCAAATGTCAAATACTGCACTCTGCAAGTAACATTACGCAGGCTACATCATGCCCTTCTTCACTGTAACACGCCATAGAGAAAAGGTAGAGTGGAGCAAGGAAATTTAATTTATTTATTTACAAAATTAAAATCTAATTTACATAGTAGAAGAAAAGATACTGGCATGTCTTCTCATGAGAGGAGG